TCACATCGTCTTTCGGCGAGACCGCTTCCCCCCCACCCCCCTCCTGCTCCCCACCAACCACCGTCTCAAAGGTCTTCTGCACCTCGGGGACGGGTCTGAAGGTCTGCGGGTCAAACGGTCGAGGAGAAGAAGACAAGAAGAAGGAGAAGAAGACAAGAAGAAGAAGAAGAAGGAGAAGAAGAAGAAGAAGAAGAAGGAGAAGAAGAAGAAGAAGAAGGAGAAGAAGAAGAAGAAGAAGGAGAAGACAAGAAGAAGAAGGAGAAGAAGAAGAAGAAGAAGAAGGAGAAGGAGAAGAAGAAGAAGAAGGAGAAGACAAGAAGAAGAAGAAGAACAAGAAGAACAAGACAAGAAGAAGAAGAAGAAGGAGAAGACAAGAAGAAGAAGAAGAAGGAGAAGAAGAAGAAGAAGAACAAGAAGAAGAACAAGAAGAACAAGAGGAACAAGAAGAAGAAGAAGAAGGAGAAGACAACAAGAAGAAGAAGAAGGAGAAGAAGAAGAACAAGAAGAACAAGAGGAAGAAGAAGAAGAAGAAGAAGAAGAGAAGAAGAAGAAGAACAAGAAGAAGAAGAAGGAGAAGACAACAAGAAGAAGAAGAAGGAGAAGAAGAAGAACAAGAAGAACAAGAGGAACAAGAAGAAGAAGAAGAACAAGAAGAAGAAGATGGGAGGGGGGTTGTCCATGTTGACCGCCCTCCACCTCAAAAATTTAATGAGGTTCTTCTCTTCCACAGTCACGGCCACCGCTCCTGCCGTCTACCCGTTGATCTCCTGCGACTGCGGGGACTGCGAGGACAACAAGAACGTCAGCTTCGGTTGCTTGGCCAACGATTTCTTCCCCGAACCCGTCGCCATCACGTGGGTTTCCAGCGTCAAAGGAGACAGCGAGACCTTCCCGGTCATCCAGGGTGGAAACAGTTACTACAGCCTCAGCAGCCAGTTGACCGTCCCGGTCAGCAGCTTGGAAGGCAACAGCTTCCAGTGCAAGGTGGTCCACAGCGCCACCTCCACCACCGTCACCGAGGACATCCCAGGTGAGAAAGGCACCGGGGAGGTGGCTGTGGCATCACACGATGGCTTGGTGGACACCAAGATGGGTTGGGGTTGCTCCCAACCTTGTGTGATGGCTTGGTGGACATCTAGATGGGTTGGGGTTGCTCCCAGCCTTGTGTGATGGCTTGGTGGACATCTAGATGGGTTGGGGTTGCTCCCAGCCTTGTGTGATGGCTTGGTGGACACCAAGATGGGTTGGGGGTTCTC